AAACTCCCTAAGATGTAGAGTTTCACATGTTCAAAAAAGTTTCATCAGAACTTTGGAAACCTTTTATTTTATTTTAAATAAAGGGTTTTCAATTTGTGGAACTTATTAAAGTTCAGGGGTGGCTTGTCAAATCTTCAGACGGCCCAAAGCTTAGAGGGTCTCCTGTAATTATTTTTCAAGTTCAAATGGGACACAAATTACAGGAAGATCAGGGAGTTTTCATGAAATTTAGCAAGAAAACAGAGACAAAAGAGTCAACCGCAGCAGCTACTACCATCTTTTGCTCAGAAGAAGCGAGAGGGAAAACAAGAAAAACAAGAAAAAGAAACAGAAAATCCCAATTCCATCATATTAGAAATGGAAAATTTGGCACAGAGGCGTCTGCAATCGATCGCTCGCCACTTCATCTCTCAAGAACTCGTCATTCACGATCTCAGCCCAGTACATTTCTCCCCTTTTTTCAATTTTTTTTAATTTTGTCTTCTAATTTTAATTGATCCAATTTATTTTAGAACCCTGCAAGTGCCGCAGTTTCACCGTCGCCGGTGATCATAGGTGGCATGGTGTTGGATGTCCACGCGAAGCCTCACAAGGGTAAAGATGCAATCCCTGGAACTACAGCCCCCGGAATGGTAATCAAATTAATTTTAAAATTTATTGTTATTTGGGTATTTTAATAAATATTTCATTACATATTCTATTTTGTGAATGAGTGTAATTGAACAATATTTCCATGTCGTGCAACAAAATGCCTTCTTTCTTTTCCAAATCATTGAGGAAGTTTTGGAGGGTCAAAATGGTCATTAAGGATTGATACTTTTACCAACAAGTCTTCTGTGTTGGTTAAAAACTACTAAATTTGGCAGCTCCAAGGGGATTTTTCCACATAGGTTTCACCCTGGTCAATTTCTGGAGGAAGTGGTGTACAATGGGAATGCAGATCACTACGAATATCCTCGGAACTACCCAAATGGGCAGGGTGCAATGTCTATTTTTCGCCCCTCCCCAACCCATCAAAGGTTGAGAACTGCCTGCTTGCATGCGGGAGGTTCGGAGGGGACACATACTTTGTAGATAGAGAGGAATCCACCAGTGTCACAGCGTTAGTGAATAAGCAGTAAGCAAGTAAAGATAATTTTAATTTGTGGTATGTGCGTGCGTATACAAGTTAGTTGCATGAATCATTTTGCAAGAAATCGGTATTCAAGTTTGCATTTGATGTTCAGTCATCTGGTTGTCCCTCAGTGCATCAAAATGAAAAACGTGAAGATGAGCATTGCAGAAGCTAAGAAAAACCATAATGCAAGAAAAATAAAGTTTTCCACTTAAATTTGGATAATTCTCGGCATAAGTCAGAAAAGAACTATTGTCTTGTGAGGGGAGAATTACTTTTATTAGAATATAAAATTATAACCCAACCCTCATCAAAACTTTGGAGTTTTGGTGTAGTGGAATGGATTATTGACATGGTATTGGAGGAACCAGGTTCAAATCTCACCGGCAACACATTTATATAGCAGATTAGAAATACATTGCTGCGTGAGTCAAGGAATAGGGCCATAAAAAAGGTCGTTCAACCTACGGGATTAGGAGCATATTAGAAAATAAACTTATAACCCTCAAGCCTCATCAGGGACTTCTTTTGTAGTGGAAGGGACCTTTGACAACTTCAATTATTTAATGGTTGTATTTCCTATTTAGCTTCAATAATTTGATAATTGATAATATGGGGGAACAATCCAAAAAACTTAGTTAGATATGCTATGGTTTAAATTTTTACTGGGGCATATTTCAGGTTAAGTTAATACATGGAGGAGTAGCACGAAATGTAGCTGAATGCATGTCAAAGCTGGAAACCAAACCTTTCATTGTTAGTGTTGTTGGAATGGACCCTGCAGGTGAACATTTAACTTTTCTTTAGGCATGGATAATCTGCTGTCTCTTCGTTTTGTGAATTCATGATTATTGTGTTTACGACTTTCCAGGAGAGATATTGTCGAAACACTGGGAGTCAGCCGGACTTTCTACCGAAGGTAAGTACAATTGTTCGTTTAACTTGATGAGTAACATTCTGATGATTATTAAATGAAGTTTTATACTTTTTATACTCGTCACTATAGGTGTAGTAGGTAGATACCTGTCAAAAAACATTAAAACAAATATGAATCTGTGGCATGTTGTTCGGCATTTATTGCTAACATATAACTCAGTCTCTCTATTCCCCCCTTCCTAGAGGCTATTTATTAGTTGAGAGACTTTCTAAAGGCTGCTTCTTCGTGTACAAGCTCAATTTAGGCGGCGACCGCCACGGAGAAGCTCGTCCCCTATTAGCATTTTTCCATACTAGGAGGTTCACACGGATAAAGAGGGTTCACTGAGTTGCTAACTGGTTGTAAACTTTAGCCAAATCTTTCATAGAGCTTTATGCTGCATATCAACCTTATTTTGGTAGAAAAAGCCTTCTTCTCTATAGAAATCAAGACTTGATGCAGATCATTGCGATATTCACTTGCACACTTAGCACCATCTGATGCAGCCCTGTATACTTCTCGCTTCAAACTCTAGGTCTGAAGCTACATCCTCAACTGCTAGCCCAGCTTTTTTGCATGTCTTCTTTTTGACCTTCTTCAACTCAAATTCAAGTGTCTGTATTGAAGGATCAACTCTAGTCTATACTGCACAGTATCATGCACTCTAATTTAAGAATATATTCTATTGAATGTTCATTTGGCTGATGGAACTGTATGTTTAAAATTTTGTTTAGGAATTCTAAAGACTCGCAGTGCTGCAACTCCTGCTGTATCAAACACATTTGACTATCGAGGGGAGCTTGCTGTGGGTGTAGCAAGTGTTGCAGCAGTTGTAAGCGTTGAATACTTATTTTTCTGCAACTGATCCACAAATTTGTAGCTAATTTGGTCCTTTGAAGTATGAGATTGATCACCTAATGTTTTGTGTTATGCACATTGGCTTTGTGCAGGAAAGGTTTGTGACTCCGGAGATCATACAACAGTTTAGACACACAATATGTTCTGCGCCAGTGTTAATGGTTGATGCAAATTTGCATCCTAGATCACTTGAAGCTGCTTCAAAGGGTATGGCACCCACCATCTGTTTATATCTTCTTTCCTACCATGTGATTTAAGTGCAGTACATGCCAGGTGTTTATTTTCTTTTAGTTTAACCTTGTAGAGTTCGAGTTATCCATTGTATAGCAAACCAATAAAAAGGGAACTTTGTGAGTCCTGCTGCTATACAGGTCGGTACTCATCTCTTTTTATATTCCTCTAGGCAAGTTAACACTCCAAGCAGTGATTGTCAGAGTTTTGTCTGGGACATAACTTAGACCTCTTGAGTGACATGATGTAGGAGGATACTCATCTATGGAATCCAACCTTTCATATCTAATCTTCTTAGTCTGAAAGATAATCTGACTAAAACCTATCTTTTTGAAGTCCATCCCTGTCTAAATTTGTAAGTACAATCCCAAATTTCTGGAACCGGCTACATAAAATAATCTGACAAGAAAAGGTCTTTTAAGGCTTTTGTAATATTTGCGGCTCATATTTTATCAGATCCATGACCTTTTTATCGGCACTTCAAGTTGATGGAAGATGCTACTCCTACGTCTTGCATTTGTTTACTATTTCATTCACCTTATTCTGATATTTGTACGTAATTATGAATTAAAAAATGTTGCTACTGTTTTGGTATTGATTGTTACCAATCTATTCTGTAAATCAGGCCATGAATGATACTGGGATACTTGTTCCTCTGGACGTATTATGTTCTCATTCTTCACTTTTTGTCACATTTTCCAGTAGCAGCAGAAGCTGACATACCAGTGTGGTTCGAGCCTGTCTCAGTTGCAAAGGCTACAAGAATTGCATCGGTTGCCAAATATGTGAGTTTAAGAAATCCGTTGTGAGTGAAATTCTGTACTTACTGTGATGCCAAAAAAAAATGAATGCTATAATTCCTTCACTTAAAATTGTTTGTGAACTGTTGTGCAGATAACAATTGCTTCTCCGAATGAAGATGAGCTTATTGCTATGGCAAATGCTTTATCTTCTGAAGAAGAATTTCGAGCTATGAAACAGAAGCTCACGAGAATGAAAGAGGAGTCAATAGATTCATCTTTCCATATTCTAAAACCGGCTATAAGTCTTTTGTTAGAGAAGGGAATTAAAGTGCTAGTTGTGACTCTTGGTGCCAATGGCATATTCGTATGTTTCAGAGGGGGAGCCACTTTTGTTAAGCACCCCTTAAAGAATTGCAGAACTCCAGATTCTAAAATGCATCTTTATAATCTTATGCATAAAAGCCTTCCTCCTAAGTGGTACACTAGTTTTCTGAATTCTGGTTCGAGTGGTTCTCGTTCATATGCCTTTCATCTTCCAGCATTTCCTGCAACGGTGGTGAGCCTTACTGGAGCTGGTGATTGCTTAGTTGGTGGAATACTTGCATCAATTTGTAATGGTTTGGATATGATGAAAAGTGTGGCCATTGGTATTGCTGTTGCAAAAGCTACAGTTCAGTAGCAGGTATGAATTCAATTTGTCAATACACTACAGCAATACATTGATTTACTGCATTTCTGTTGCTTGTTTTTTGTGTGCCTATGTTCAACTTTTCTCTCTTTTTTTCGTTCTTATCATTATAGATGTTATTATGTTTTTAGTCTCATTCATGTATTAATCAAAATTACACCATAAAATACCCATCATTATGCATGTTCTCTAGTGACAATACTCTTGAGTTTGCTTCTTATTAGGGAATTTGACACGTCTTATGCTGGCACATGTCTCAGGCACTATAAAAGCTTTTAAATTACACACACACACTAATTGTATTTGTTTCCTTTTCTATTTTAATTCTATTTACTTGATTCGTGATTTGGGAGCTAGACTTGTTAGTTTCTCCAAGAGAACTTTCTAATGCAAATAATCTTATTTGGCAGCTGAAGCACACAAAGTCTTTATGAACGGGAGGCAACTTATTTTTGATTAAGAGATTATTTTGGACAAAGTCTCATCAGAAAGATTTTATTCTTTTGGACCAAACTCTCATTGTCGACGTGGTACTCAAACTCAGTAATTTGTGCAGATAAACGTTTGTACAATTGTATGAAAGATTTAATGCTTATTGTAACAAATTTTCGTCTTACTTGTTGCCGATGAAACATGAAGTGCTTGTAACAGAAGGGAGGACAATTTCTTCAAGAGAAATAGAAGGGAAGGCAGAGGGTTATTTAACTTCCGTAGAGACATGAGGATGAAGTGCAAATACATTTCAAAAAACAAGAGCTGAATGCCATGAAAATATAGTTTGCTTTCTAACAACAATGCGGATTGTGATGTTGATAAACCAAGAAGGTCTCAACGAGTGGCTAAGAAAAATCCAAAGTATTTGGATTAAAAAGGGATTTTACTTCATGAGTCATGCAATGGGATTACTTGACAAGTTACAAGGAAGAAGTCCAAGTTCGTTAAACGTGTCCACTAACTTGGTTGCTGAAGAATAGGATAAGTAGTTAATTTATGCTATTTTGTTGCCACTAGTCTATCGTGTCCTATTTCTTAGAGATATGACCTAAGAATTAGGATTGGTTGTTAATTTCCATTGTTATTTAAACTCCTTCCCAGTTGTTAATATGGTAAGCTTATTTTCAATCAAAACACCTGTGGTTTGTTCTCACCCGAAGAGAACTTGTTTCCTAATATTGTTATAGCTTTGACTGGGACCTATCATTGGTATCAGAGCTATGGCAACCAACAAAGAAAGAATTGAAATCCTTGAAGCTGGACTAGGAGGAGTTCAAGATAGTCTGAGCCGAATAGAGATCGGTGTGGCTGACAAATTCACTCAAATTGAGATGGCCATCAGCAAACTGTCAGAAGTTCTACTGGCCAACCGAACTGCTTCATCCAGTAACATTCTTGGTGATCCGCCTACCAACTCTCCTATTGGGCGCCTCCGCAACACAGTGGAGGAGACTCGAGATAGCTCTGAAGGAGGACGGCCATTGTTCTTTTCCAAATTAGCTAAGCTAGAATTTCCTCGTTTCTCTGGAGACGATCCAACTGAATGGTTCACAAGAGTGGATCAATTCTTTGAGTATCAAAGCACTCCCGAACAGCAGAAAGTGCCCTTAGCTTCCTTTCACCTTGAAGGCGAAGCAAATCAATGGTGGCAATGGCTGAAAAGATCCTATACGGAAGAAAATAAGGAGGTAACATGGGGGATTTTCCAAGAAGAGCTATGGGCAAGATTTGGTCCTACCGAGTGTGAGGACTTTGATGAAGCTTTGTCGAGGGTAAAACAAATGGGCTCCTTACGTGATTATCAGAAAGAGTTCGAGCGTCTCGGTAACCGGGTACAAGGCTGGCCACAAAGAGCTTTAGTGGGGGCATTCATGGGTGGTCTCAAGCCAGAAATAGCTGATGGCATAAGAATGTTCAGACCAAGATCGCTGAAGGAAGCCATAAGCCTTGCGACGATGAGAGATGAGCAATTGAGTCGCCAGAAAAAAGTTATTCGTCCTTTCAGCCGATCCATTGCCGACTCTCCTTCTCCAGTGAAGTTCAAAGGAACTACTCCTGTCAAAAGGCTCACTTGGGATGAAATGCAAAAGAGAAGGGCGCAGGGGCTATGCTTTAACTGTGACGAAAAATTTATACAAGGGCATAGGTGCCGAGGGCCTCAACTTCTACTCTTAGATGGTAGCAATGACAATTCGGAAGATGATGAAATTGACGACTCAATGGAGCAGCCACCTGAGATTTCTCTACATGCACTTTCGGGTTGGACAGCTTATAAGACAATGCGGGTGATGGCGCGGATTGGACCATGTGAAGTGGTGGTCTTAATAGATAGTGGGTCTACTCACAATTTTATTAGCAAGAAGATGGCTAATTTGTTACAACTACCTGTACTTCCAACCGAGCCATTCAACGTTAAAGTGGCGAATGGAGAGCCATTAAAATGCCAAGGCAGATTTGAAAATGTCCCAATTATGCTGCAAGGTATTCCTTTTGTCCTCACTTTATATGCCCTATGTCCCAATTATGCTGCAAGGTATTCCTTTTGTCCTCACTTTATATGCCCTACCTTTAATTGGATTGGACTTGGTCTTAGGTGTCCATTGGTATTCCTTTTGTCCTCACTTTATATGCCCTACCTTTAATTGGATTGGACTTGGTCTTAGGTGTCCATTGGCTGGAGCAATTGGGAACAGTTGCATGCAATTGGAAGAAATTAACCATGGAATTCCAGTGGGATAATAAAAATCAAAAATTAGAAGGAATTGACACACACTCAATCCAACCTGCAACCATGAAAGCCATCACCAAGGAAGCACGACACGGAGGATCCATGTTTGCTGTTTCTCTTCAACCCACATCAGATTCCACATCATTGAGTGTCGAACCAGAGATGAGCCAATTGCTACAGAAATTTGATGATGTCTTCCAAGAGCCGACACAACTTCCACCTACCAGAGAAGTCGATCATCACATCAATCTGAAAGAAGGCACCGAGCCGATCAATGTGCGACCATACAGGTATGCCTATTTCCAAAAAGCTGAAATTGAAAAACAGGTTCAAGATATGATAAAATTGGGGCTTATAAGACCTAGTACTAGTCCATTTTCATCTCCTGTTTTGCTGGTTAAAAAAAAAAGATGGCTCATGGCGATTTTGTACGGACTATAGAGCACTCAATGCTGTGACCATCAAAGATAGGTTTCCCATTCCTACAGTTGACGATATGTTGGATGAGCTTCATGGGGCATCTTATTTCACCAAACTTGACTTAAGGGCTGGTTATCATCAGGTACGAGTGCACCACACCGACATTCAAAAAACTGCTTTTCGTACACATAATGGTCATTACGAGTACTTAGTTATGCCATTTGGTCTTTGTAATGCACCATCCACCTTTCAAGCCATTATGAATTCCATATTCCGTCCACATCTCCGCAAATTCATTCTTGTATTCTTTGATGACATCCTCATTTATAGCCCCAATTGGATCATGCATCTTGAACATGTTAAAATAGCTTTGGAAATATTAAGGCATCATAAATTTTTCGTCAAAATCAGCAAATGTGCTTTTGTCTTACAAGAATTGGAATACTTGGGTCACATTGTGACGGCTCAAGGAGTTAAGGTGGATCAAGGGAAGATTCAAACTATGCTAAATTGGCCTAAGCCTACTAATGTTTCTGAGCTGCGTGGTTTTTTAGGACTTACAGGTTATTACCGCAAGTTTGTCCGTAATTATGGCATTATAGCAAGCCCTCTCACTAACCTGTTAAAGAAGGGCCAATTTGCGTGGTCAGACGAAGCAGAAACTGCATTCCAAGAGCTTAAGTAGGCCATGACTACTACCCCAATACTTGCTATGCCAAATTTCAATGAACCATTCACCATTGAATCTGATGCTTCGGGTCACGGCATAGGAGCAGTTTTGAGTCAACAAGGGAAGCCTATTGCATTCATGAGTCGAGCTTTGGGTTGTTCTAAATTATCATGGTCCATTTATGCGAAAGAGATGTTAGCCATAATTCACGCAATACGACTGTGGAGACCATACTTGATGGGCAGGAAATTTTTCATTGAGACCGATCAACGAAGCCTCAAGTATTTGTTAGAACAACGCATAGCCACACCTGAGCAACAAAAGTGGGTGACTAAACTTCTAGGTTATGATTATGAGATCAAATACAAGCCAGGGCGGGAGAACAATGCTGCAGATGCACTATCACGTGTAGCAGGTAGTCCTAGTCTTCATCATTTGTTTGTTTCTCAAAATCCATTGTGGGATACAATTAAAGATGAAGCTATCGACAACCCTTACATGCAAAGAATCAGCAAGCTTGCAACTGATAATCCCGGCAATCCGTACAGATGGCACAATGGTTTGGTTTGTTTCAAGAATCGAGTGGTAGTGCCTCCTCAATCTAACGTCATCTCACAGATTTTACAAGAATTCCATGATTCTCCAGTTGGTGGGCATTCCGGTGTACTCAGGACATACAAGAGAATCTCACAACAATTTTATTGGCCATCCATGTACCAAACAGTGCAGAATTATGTTTCTTCTTGCGATGTGTGTCAACGAACCAAGCACCAAACTTTATCACCAGCGGGGCTTCTACAGCCATTACCAATTCCTTGTCAAGTTTGGGACGATGTTACTCTCGATTTCATCGATGGCCTTCCACCCTCTAATGGTAAAAATTCAACTCTTGTTGTTGTTGACAGGTTAAGCAAATCAGCACACTTTATGGCTCTTTCCCATCCATATACAGCAAAAATAGTGGCTGAAAAATTTATTGAGGGGGTGGTGAAGCTTCATGGCATGCCTTGGTCCATAATTAGTGACCGCGATCCTATATTCATCAGCAATTTCTGGAAAGAATTCTTCAAAATGTCAGGCACCCAGTTGAAGATGAGCTCCGCTTACCACCCGCAAACTGATGGCCAAACGGAGGTCGTCAATCGCTGCCTTGAACAATATCTCCGCTGCTTTGCTCATCAACAGCCTCGCAAATGGCATTCCTTCCTTCCATGGGCTGAGTTTTGGTACAATACCACGTACCATATCTCCACCGACATGACCCCATTTCAGGCTCTCTATGGCAGACCACCTCCAACAATACTCCACTACCATGCAGGCCATTGTCCAGTCAATGAAGTTGATCAAAGCTTAGCTTCTCGAGATGCGTTGTTGCGGCAACTCAAGGAAAATCTGTGTGCGGCTAACAACCGAATGAAACAGCAAGCTGATTCCAAACGCAGGGACATTCAATTCCAAGTTGGAGATTTGGTGTTTTTGAAATTGCATCCTTATCGGCAGCAATCAGTTTTCAAAAGAGCATATCAAAAACTTGCAAGCAAGTTCTATGGACCATATATGATTGAAGAAAAGATTGACAGCACGGCTTACAAACTCAAACTACCACACGGTTCTCGTATACATCCGGTGATTCACGTGTCCCTCTTAAAAAAGAAAGTGGGTGACGCCATTACTTCTAGCTCAGACTTACCACCAATGGCTGACGACGGTGAGTTGTTGCTAGAACCAGAAGCAATCTTGGACAGTCGCTGGGTTACCAAAGGATCCAAGTTTGTAAAGGAAAGCTTGATCAAATGGAAACGACTTCCACCAGAAGATGCAACGTGGGAAAACACGCAGGACTTTAATCACAGGTTTCTGAATGTGAACCTTGAGGACAAGGTTCCAGTCAAAGGGAGGGGTATTGATAAACCAAGAAGGTCTCAACGAGTGGCTAAGAAAAATCCAAAGTATTTGGATTAAAAAGGGATTTCACTTCATGAGTCATGCAATGGGATTACTTGACAAGTTACAAGGAAGAAGTCCAAGTTTGTTAAACGTGTCCACTAACTTGGTTGCTGAAGAATAGGATAAGTAGTTAATTTATGCTATTTTGTTGCCACTAGTCTATCGTGTCCTATTTCTTAGAGATATGACCTAAGAATTAGGATTGGTTGTTAATTTCCATTGTTATTTAAACTCTGATTTCACTTCATGAGTCATGCAATGGGATTACTTGACAAGTTACAAGGAAGAAGTCCAAGTTTGTTAAACGTGTCCACTAACTTGGTTGCTGAAGAATAGGATAAGTAGTTAATTTATGCTATTTTGTTGCCACTAGTCTATCGTGTCCTATTTCTTAGAGATATGACCTAAGAATTAGGATTGGTTGTTAATTTCCATTGTTATTTAAACTCTAGCACGCCTTCAAAGATAAAAGTTATCCGCGTACTCTTTGCATATCTCACGAGAATTACGTGCGGTTCCGTCTGATTTCCCCCCTTTTTCAGTTAATTGATTAGTTCTTTTGTATTTTCAGAATATTGAATTTGTGCTAGAAGCGCGAAATATAAATTGCCACTGTTAAAAAAAATCAAGAAAACCTCTTCAAAATGATCGTAACTGTTAAGTTTCAAGAAAGAAAAAAATAAGGTAAAATACATAACCCAGCATAATTGATAATTTATAAAACCATCTATTTGATGGTGAAATTACGAAAATAGACTGGTTGGGGAGGAGAGGGGCCAGCTAACGAGGGTGAAGTGAGGTGAGTTGAGATGCAACAATGATGCAAGGAATGGCATATCTTTCGTGTTTCTTAAATTAAAAATGACATATGTTGGTACATCTATTCTTCTATAATAATGAGAGGGTCCAAGATTCACTATTCATACTACAGTAAATTATTGTGCTATTGTTATTGTATCACAGGCAGGAGGATCCAAGATTTGATATTCATGTCACAGTTATTACTGTAGTATTATTATTGTAGCAACGGGAGGCTGTAGCAGTTTAAAAAAATATTACTGTAGCATTTAAAAAATTGCTACTGTAGCACTTACGAAAACTGTATTTGAATATAGAATTACTGTAGCGGAAATAAAAAAATGGAGGTCGTGCTTTGCACGGGGTGCGCACTAGTTATAAACTATAGGACAAACGTGCATGTATAAAATATTTCCTTGGAGGAAAAGACCGTGAAGTACTTGCAACTGAGAATAACAAAATAACTACAAAATAACCAAGTGTTACATTCCAGGGGTTTTGGAAGTTTTCAAAAAGTCCTGGGGGTCGTAGGAATAAATCTTGTTCGTTTGGGGGGCTAGAAGCAAATTTCCCTATTAAATAATAGATTATTTGACTATTCAAGCCTAGTTATTTTACCTATATTCGTATATAAATTTGTATCCTACAAAACCTTTATAAAAATACCCATTTCTGTTCACAACTATCTATAACCTACTAGAAATAGATGACACAATACATATATCCACATCCTATGCGATGCGGATGTCAATATATCCAAGGATGCACGTACTTTTTTAGGTTGTGTGTGGTGTGGGGGGTGAACTTTTAAAGTTGACCTGTGATTAACTTATCCTAGCTGGTAAGGTTGTATTTGGTCAGGATACGGCTCGAACATGATACTTACAGCTTATCCATCTTGGATATGGATACAAATGCGGATATAAATCGATAAGAAAAATTCATAACCATATCCACTAAAGTCATATATGGATATAAATATACATGCGGATATATAAGCGAATATAGATGCAGATACAAATGGATATGAGAAAACTAGATAGTATTAAAAAAATATTAGTTCATGTGATTAAAAAAATCATTAATATGTTCATTATATCTGAAAAGGTCAGATTAAAGATCTTGATCATCAAAATTAACCTCAAAATCTCTATAATCTAAGGATTAAAACTATCGTAACAATATGACTAATATATTTTCGGATATATCGATAGAGATCCAAATATTTCACTACGAAACCATATCTTAACTTATCCTATCAGTTATAAATTTGAGTAACCATATCTGTATCCTAAGGGATACAGTTATGAATATTTGCTTGGATACAGATACGGTTTAGCACCCTTACCAGCCGAGCCAAGAACAAACCAAGAGTGGACTTAGAAGAAAACGGAACTAAGTTTTGTGATTCAAAAAACAATCCACAGACTTCATGTATCATTACTGTATACTTCAAAAAAAAAAAGGTTCTTTAGGTATTAGCCCATTGAGGGTATTTTGTATTAGTCCCTAAAGTATTTATATTTTGATATTAGTCCCCCAAATTATCTTAATATGTTGATATATTAGGCCCTCTAGTTAGTTGGTGTTAACTGTTAACGTGGACGAGAATGCAATGTCTT